AATTACTCTACATAGAGAAAAAATGTATTCCTATTTTTTGTATTACTCTGAAAGAAAAGTTGATTTTGAGGAGAGAGGGCAGTTCAAGTGGCTTGATTGGCCTTCAGAACACTCCCTTTTGACCATATTTACTTGTTTACTTCTGCAGCTCGGGTCAAAACAGTCTTCAGATTTTCGAAGAGTTAATGTAATGATTATTAAGTAATGTTACCTTCACAGTTTGATTGAACAGCATAGTACGTATGACCGCTTGCGCAGTGGCTGATATGATGAAGGATCCGCCAGAAGCTCCAACGACCATCACAACCTAGAAATGCTCGCACAGTTAATTTCGTTACTGTAGAAAGGGTTTTTCAAAATGGAAACCCTCATTAATTTACTGCTTACAAAAATCAGTGAAGATTAGGGGACATCAAAACTGAGAAAACGGGTAAGGAAGCTCTTGTTTGACTGCATTATTATTAAAGGGATTCTTCTCCAGTTGGGAAACTATCATGACAGTAATCTGTGTGGCTTACCACAAAAAAAACTAAAGAGAGCTCACTTTGTTATCGTTTTTATTGTAGATGACCATTGGGCTCATGCTGCTCATCGGCCGTTTACCCGGCTTGATAAAATTCGTTTCGGACGGAGCGAAACCAAACGCATTCGCTGCACCAGGTGTGGAGAAATCGTCCATTTCATCATTCCAGATGATACCAAGAGTTTGAGAAGCTCTCATCGCGCCCAGACTGAATGAATATTTCCAAAATTTTTATATTTATTCACTAATTCAGCAGCCTAACGTTAACTCTGCTAGTGCAAGGATTGACTCTTGGATGCCAATAGCAAGAATGTCATATTAACTTTTACCAAAGTAGCCCTCTCCCTCTTATCTCATGAATGATTCATAGAGCCCCACCGTTCAATGACAGCAGAAAGGAGGAGGAACAAACTCGAGAAAAGTAGATACTCGGTAGGTAGCGATAGTGACTCCCAGATTCCACAAGGTAGCGGTGCTACCTGGGTGTGGTACCTTGAGGTGTGGTAACTTCTCCCCGAAAATCGCGTCGTGCTCGCCGCTCCCGATCGCGACGGTCCCGCGCTAAGAAGGGAAAGTTCTGGGTTTCCACTTGAAGGATGCGGTAATTTCCCCCGAACCATGTCGCTCGCTGTGGGAATTTGGACCCCGTCAACCGGAATCTTGTACCCAAACGACAGACCGTTTTCGCCGCACCCTAAAGGTATCGGAGCGTGCAGTACGACGGTGATACTCGAATTTCTGTTAGATGATTATGCTGACTGGCGCGTCACCAGTGCTGCTCTGCGATTGTGGGAATTTAGTTACGATGTCCACCTTCTATGTAATCTGTTCCTCGGCTCAGTTTTTGATATAACGTTCGAGGGGAGCTCGACACGCTCAGGATCCCTTGACCACTTGTTTCTTCGCGCGGCGACTACTAGTTAGTTCTCTCGAGGCACACTATAAAGGACTCTCCTCCGAAGAAAGTTTTCCCGATTTCCAAGGACTTTTAGCATCGTTACTCAGATACCGAAGTTAAAGATAGAGCTCATTCACTAGACCTGTTGTAATTCGTTCAAAAAATATTGGAAAGTGAATTCTTACATTTGATTCACTGTGGACGTGCAAGAAACCGCGTTTCCTTCGTGATCGATGATCGTTACGTGTGATGTTCCATGATCGGGAACCTGTAAAGTGCAGACCTTAGAGCAGTATGAGGCTATCAGCGACGAGCAGCAGTTCAACTGAAGCTTCGTCTTCCTGATGGAAGGCACGATTCAGTACCACAACACTGTGCTTTGAGTGCATTAGTTCACAACTTTCGTCCGAATTCAAAGGTATCTCAGTGACCTGTGGTGTTGTATCGAATTTGAAAAACCTGTGGACCACATCTATGCTTTGGTTATTCAATCTCCCATCATCTCCCAGGAGGGGCAGCTTAGGATCTACCAGGAGAGACTCAGACTACGTGTTCCACTTTTAGTTGTTTTCAAAAGAGTTAATGTACATGTTGGGAACAAATCCGGTTGCCTTTCAGGGTAATATGTCATGCGGGATTTGTTTGAGAGCGAGCTTTCACAGCCAAGCTAGGCTCAACTACGCTCTTAGCTCCCACCTCCTGCCGTCGCTATAAGGACTTCCCCGCGACCGGGAACGAACTTCTACTCCCAGTACTTTACGAGCAATTTCACAAAGGCCTCAAAGTCCCATAGCCCCGAATTACTGAAACAAAATAGCAGTGAAAGCAGTGCTGAACCAAGGATGCATGTAAGTAGTAGTAAAGACGAAGTTCTTTAATTTCAGCAAACAAGTCTCTATAAGCAATTTCTCCAGTCGTGATAGACTGTGATGGATATCGTTGGTCCTCCACATAATTATCGCTACGTTTCATGGACTAGGAGCGTTTATTTATTCATCTGTTTACATGTGATCAGTTATGAATCCCGATCGTCTTTCAAATTGGATTTCGGGGGTTGCTTCAAATGATATCCATGAAATACTGCTGGAAGATTGGAAGCGAGGTAGACCTGGGTGAATTACTGAAAAGGATGGCCACCTACTTCTAACTAGCTCTAAAACGGAATCACGTGACTTAACCGAGAAAGGATAAAAAAGATCCGTCAGGGACTTGATCCTCGAATCGATTTCTTTTTATTTTTTCTGAGATCAAGTTTACAGGAACCTGTTATGGGGAAAGTTTTATTCTCCCAGATCGAACCACTAATTGCTCCTAGTGCGACCTTTTGCCAGTAAAAAAGCCTGGCTCTAAGGTGGCATTTCCAGTTCCTCAAACATTTTCCCATTTCGCTCCATAAACAACTTTTAGGGACCTGCCATACGAGAGGCTTTTTCATTATTTTTGCGTTAAGGTACTGACGACGTAGCCGCTTCTGGTAATGCGATCTACTGAAGCGGGTCACCCAAGGGTGTGTGTACATTCGTGCGATTCGGGCTGCGCGCGGCAAGTTGCGCGACGAAATTCGTGGTGGTTCAAACGACTCTGGAGGCTATCATTGGAGCCAAAATTTGAAGTAAAGTAGGTTAGTAGGATTGTTCGACTCTACTGAAGTACTCTATTTCAAGTTTGTGCCCCAATAATAATCTCCGGAGTCGTTTAAAACAGCACGAATTTTGCCGCGCAATTTGCCGCGCTCAGCTCGAATCGCACGAATGTACCGTCCCCCGTTACCCAACATCGATACATGTGTGTTGACCGTCGTCCCTTACGGGATGAGGGAGACATAATATATCTCGTCTAGGAGGTAGGGGGAGGGTTAAGGCGCATATAAAACAAAACGAACACAGTGGTAGGCTGTTCCTCCAGAAAACAATCAAATGCTTTCACAATGTCAAATAAGGGAGTGCTTGGGTCATTTCACAGATACCGTTTTCTATGTCCACCTTCCCTGGAATGACTTCGCGTGCCGCTACCTCAAATTGTCCTCTTGAAAGAAACTAGTGAACTGATGTGCCAGTGATAACAACAAGTCACACGGTGCAAAACTCACCTCTTCAAGATCAAGTGGTGTCTATAAAGTTAATACACGGAATGTTAGTATGAAAATACAGAATATTAGTTCTACTGTAACAAATATAACACTAACAAATGTTATTTTGTTAGTAGTAATGTCGTAGTAGAAAAAAATACCTGCGTTGTCATATCGCCTAGATAGTAATCCTGAGGTTGAGCAACGTCCTTGATCATTGAAGCGATCCATTTGGTGTATTTACTGAAAATAGGTCAGATTGAGGCAAAAAGTTGAGAGTGTCCAGGAGTTTCTGAGAATTGTGAAACCGATGGCTCCCGATGGCTTTCACTGCAGAAGTTGAGTAGAAGGTCAAGAAAAAAAGCTTACGGAGTACTCATGTTGGCGACAAGCAATTTTGCGCTCTCCACAAATCTCGCATCACCGAGCTTCGTCCGCTGAGCATAAGCGAACTTTTCGGCTTCGATAAGACGATGATAAACCAGCGGATCATCTAGGTTCACTTTACCACCGCGATAGAACTCTGCAAAAATCAGACATTTAGCACCGGAAAACCTTGGGAGTTCTCCCAACTCACCCGCCATGACAGCTATGATACTCTGTGTGATCACGAATGACGACGGAGGTGGCGGTCCGCACATTTCCAAATCGCCCGACAATCCACTGGCGATTAGCGGAATCTCGTCGATCAGCGTTTCATAACTGGCCAAATCTTTCGCGTCGATTATTCCTCCTGAAGCAGTGCGCAATGTTGGAAATCCTCCCTTTGGTCAGAGTTTCGCTAACTAGTGCCAAACTAGAGGAATGGGCTGCATCTATCAGTCACTCACCATTTTCGGTGATCTCTCCAGCGATGGTCTGCGCCATTCCTCCTTTGTAGAACAAATCGACCGGATCTGAGGCGTTGGCGAGTAGTTGAAGGGTGAAACCATATCGCTCGCGTTTCATGATGTCACCTTCCTCATAGACCCGTCCTGTTATTCGATTCACGAAGATCTCCCTGAAAATGACTTTCTTCGCCTACATCCTCCAACTAAGCTGACATAAGGGCGCATTATTCCAAAAAGAATCTACCGGAAACTTGAAAAACCCTGATTTTTGTGGAAAGTCTCCATGGAATCTCCACATTACTCAACTTGTACTATAAAAAACTACTGTCTACCCATATTCAATATGTACTTCGTCTTTCGCACAGCTCTTCATGAAATCTTCCAGAACATTCCAAAAAAAGATTCTGACTACTGAGAGATTTCCGGCAGATAAGCACTTTCTGTACACTCCCAGGTTCTCTTAAAAGGCTACCCACTTCATTGTCGGTTCAGCTTGGATGATACTTTCCTTTTCGGCCAGATTTAAAGCCAAATTGCTCGATACAGGGAATCCATTCATAGCCAGCTTAATCGACGGTTCAAACAAACGGGACCATTCCACCTAAAATGCTTAGTTCTGTGCACTCTATAGAACAGAGAAAAACAAATTCAGACTTCAGTTCATTCGCTCATTTTTTAACCATATTCATCCCTAGGAACAAAATTCGAAGAGGTCTACCATGAATTTTATATAGAGCTTTGTGAGGGGAGATTCTTACCCAAAAATAATCCTACAATTCAAACGTTCTCCATGTTGACTTCTTAATATAGGTACAGTTCACGACAAAAATGGTTTTTGATTTCCCACAGGATGAATTCGAGGTTCCCGCACATACCATATCTGATATCTGGCCCCATTAGGTCGAAAAACGGCCTAGTTAGGGAGTTAAAAGGGCAATTACAGACTGCACCATGTGTATCCTCGGACGAGTTTCTAGTGGCTTTACCGATCCATAGGAACCCATGTAGGAAGTTCAAACAACCTGTCATGACCTATAGCGACACTGAAAGGCAATTCTAAAGAGTTCTGGCTTAATGTAGTCAGCTCTTTGCGCAGTTGCAACGACTCAAATCTCATCCAAATACCCCTCCCATGTTATTCCCGTCACGGTAATCTCATCCAACCTCTATTTTGCTTACTTTTAATGGACCTTTCCTCAAAATTGCCGAATTCTCTCGCTTTCTTCATTACCGATGAACTATTCCCAACCTGTACATCCGCTTTCCGTATAAAAAGGTGTACCTCAAAATTACCAAGAACTGTGCCCTTAAACGACTACATCGTCTTCCTTTAGGCAATCAGTAAAGTTTTACTCGGAAATCTCGATTCAGGGTCATCTTGGTGGTGAGCAAGTGTTTTCCAATTAAAAAAATCATGGAATGGTAAGAGTTAGCGTCCGCGTTTAGAAGTTCATCTTCTGTTATCTTGGTTGTGGTACACAGGTCTGAACTTTCAGGAGCATTCCCAGGTCTTCAGCTAACGGGACCTGATCGACAGTGGGTGCTTGCCAACTTTTGCAAGAGATTGGCTAGTAACCAGAAAGGCATCTAACGAATTGCTGAGGTTGTTTTTTATAAGAAAAAATTTATGATCAACAAGTTGAAGCAACTTTTACCTTCCCAGAACCGAATTTCTTAAACACTGTCCAAAATCCGTGCAGTTCAGATGGGGTAGCAATTGCACGATACCCTGAAAAAGAAAATCCTCGTCGTCGAAGGGTTTCGTTGGGCTGATAACAGTTGAATTTCATAAAGGTAATAGGAATGCGTGAAACTGAAAGCAAACGAAACAACCGGCGTTAAAGCCCATCGAAGAAATTTTAATTATTTCAAGAATTTCCATATTTTCAGGCAAAGCTCTAGGGCCAAAAAGTGATTCACGAAGAAGTTCCCAATCTCCTCCTCCATCCGATCGTGGTTAGCCATGACAACTATCTTTCCGGATAGTAGGAGTCTCCCCATCCCACACCATCCCTCCCAGGACAACCACATCACACATCCTTATCGCCTGGGATTGGGAACTACGTTCGCGCAGAATTTCTGTATGAGCGAAGCTTACAACTCTTGCTCAGCATGAAGTCTTAGAGCAAAATTAAGAAATTTTCATTTATTTTATTTATTTATTTCATAGTGTTAATTCTATACAGTTCCAAAAACTAATCCCGAGAACAGCGAACAACAACATCCTTACCGTATACAGCCTGGCTTGTATCATTCTTAAACATGTCCTCAGTGGCAGCAAGAGGAGCTGACTCGCGAGCGTTGATTGTCTGACATCGACCCGTTGATCTGAAAACCGAACGGATCAACTCCATAGGTCGGTGCCGGATTCATGAGTTGGACAGTTCAACTCACGCATTGTACAGAGTCATAAGGAAACCGCCTCCAAGTCCACTTGACTGAGGATTTACTACTCCTATACATAGCAATGTTGCTATCATTGAGTCAACAGCGTTACCACCATCAATCAGTACATCCCTGCAAGATTGAGGAATAGATATTGAAAATATGTGGATGTATGGCTTACTCTACTTTCACAGTCATGTTTCTGGACGTATAGAAGTCGGATGGGAGCTTTGAATGATTTGATAAGATTCGAAGAATACCAATAAGTTTAATCAAACACACGTTCTCATGGCACATTTGACTTGCCGTCTTTGCACTTCGAAAAATCAATAAAATCAATCGATTGGAAGGCTCACCTTCCTATTTCTGAACAGAATCCATGATCCGACGCAACGGCAGCCCTTTTGAATTGTGCGTAAAGGCTCCCAGATGGTTGTGGCCAGTGAATATGTCGCGGTGAATCATCCCGCTAAAAATCGATATATTGATTTTTGTAGTGTTGCGCCGTGCAGTAGTATCTCACTCCTGCTATATCGTAATAGAAATCGCATGCAATCAAACACCGTGAATAAGAAAGAAACTAATGTGATGACGATTTGTGATCTCTAAAACGGCATGCGCTACTTGTGGGACACACAAGACGACATCGATCTATTAGCTACAAGTAAGTGTTCTGATAGTATCACCAAATCCGCGTCGGCTGTAGCGGCTTGATCAGAATCCTCTTTGACACCACCGGGGCGAGCAGCATTCGGGTGATGCTCTCCACCCGACTAGAAGTAACTCCAAAAATAATTGACAAACCGCTAAGAGCTTGTAGAAAAACGTTTTTTTGTAGCTTACATTGTTGAAATTCTTATGTAGTTAGAGATTTTTAGGTTGGTTTGTTTGTGGTTTGTTCTTTTTTGGTTATTTGTTTCTTTCGGTTTTTGATTGGTTTGGTTTCTACAGCGGGCGATTCTATCCGCTTTGACGGTGGAGCCTGGCCTCTGAAGACGACGATTACGACGAAACGTTAGGCCGTTAACTTGATGAAGTTCTCCACCCAAGAACCTCGAACGGCAGAAGAATTTCAACAACAAAAACGACAAAGCCGAGTTTAAAACAAGAGGGAAGTTGGAGGCTGTTTCCTGTAGCATTTTCCTTTAAATATTATCGACCCGTCTAAGAAAAACTAATAATTCTGGATGAAAAGCAAATTCTTGTCGAAACCCTCTCTTTACGTTCTTTTGAAGTGGGCCATGAGCTGGTCTCCTGTTCTGTCATTCGTAAACAAAAATAAGACCAAAGCTATTCTTGGAAATCTTCCATGCCAGCTGGAGCAACCTACGCAAAATTACTCGAGCTGGAGATTATGAAATCACGAAGCCAGTTATTAATATGGGCTAGACCTGAGTGGTGCAAACGATGTCTATACGCTCGGCAATGAGAAGTTGACCATGTAAAAGTTCTTAGGGCTTTTTCAAGACACGAATTTCCCTTCTTTTTCCAACCATTTCGATGTTGCACAAAAAAATATTTTTAAACGTAGGTAAACCTGGACGAAGATGTTGCCAAAATCGACCTTACCCAGAGGTGCATATACGAGTATGCGACGAGCATTACCCTTTCCGACGCACATTAAATCTTCATGTGGATGAGTTTCATTACGTCGTTATCAAGATGAAGGTGCGCTCTCTTCGAACGCTATTTCTTACTAACAGAGCTACTCAGGCAAAGCAGTGGAGCTTCTTGACAGGACATGGTTTTTTGCTGAAGCAGCTTCCAGAGTTTCTGAGGGGAATCTGTTCCAGACGTTTTTTGGGAATTTGTTGAAATTCGTATTGTAAAGAATAGGTTGTGAATAGGCTAAGGGATCTGTTACGAGCAGATAAGCTCAACTGTTGTTTTTTCCCATTAGAGCAGCACTATTTGACAAAAAAATCTCTTTCTTTCTTCAGAGTCATTCTGAATCATCGGTTTTGTAATGAACTCTTCTCTGGGGATATCCTCCTCCTTCTCACAGTCTTCTCTGTTTTCGTGCCTGGGCATATGTAGCTTTTGAAACATGAAGAACATTGAACACAGGTGCTGTTTGCGATATTTCTAAAAGATAGGCCCCTGTCTGGAAGTTGTAGTGAGTCGAAGGCGAGCTTGTGCCAAGTGATGTTGCTACTACACGGGTAGTCACCGTTCGTACTACGGGAGACAATCAAGCCCCTCATCCCTCTTTTACTTCCGGGATTAGTGAATAGCACTTACTATCCGGTATCGTCGGCCGCCTCCAGAAAACTTTTGGGAAGCTCCATTCAACAGGAGAACGAAAACTTCGATTTCAATTATACTACATAGGAGGAATCTCCGATTGGATTGTGGCGATGCGGCCTGTTGAATGGCGGTCCCCAAACCAGGCCGTCATTCGTGTGAAACGTTCGTATCGTCGTCCATCGACTGATAATCCGTAAAAATGCACCCAGGCGTGGGCAGGCATAGATGAAATCGCTCACATAACCCTTCCCGTATTATTTTCGGGGCAATTTGCGACCTTCCGCCCGTGTGATGTGATACTAGTTCTGTAACTGGGATCGATCAACAATAGTCGGAATCAAACAAATAACATCCTAGACCATCGGTAATCAAAATGTTCATAATAAACAAAATTACCAGTAACTTACTCGATTCAGTTCTTCTTCCAGTTCACTATCCTTTGAGTACTTTACACCAACAACTACGGCAAGTGCTATGGTTGAGATCATGAATACGATAGCTAATACGGCACACAATATAGCCACCGAGCGATTACACCTAAAAGTACAAAGCTGTTCGATGTTTTCAAAAAAAGCAGATGATCTATGTTGCCCCTCAAATGGGGAAGAATAATGGCTTGGGTCCTTCAACCGTTTCAGAGTCATGGATCGAAAGTGGACGGGGTCGAGGGGCTCGGTATGTGGCTCAATGCAGCTACATCGTCACATCAAGAGGCGTCACGTTACGAGGCGAGAGCCTCAGAAGATCGGCGAGCTAAGGGCAAAACTCGTTCTCCGACGAGATCCGAACCCGTGCGTGTGTTATCCGGACACCGTGCCCTTATTCCCTAACTCTATCGAAGCCCCCTCGCCCTCACCTTCTTAATGGCTTTTATTTTTTAAGTTATGAGCACTCATATGTACGTATAACGTGATGAGCTAGTCAGCTTATATCAGCATTCAACAGTTAAAACGTTAGTGTAAAGAATAGAGAGGACGGTGCCCGGAAAGCACGAGATGGGTTCAAGTTTCTTTCGAGGCCGTCTTTGCCTGTAACTGCCCTTTCTCGGGTCTTCCCTCCTGGTCCGTACTTTAAGAGTTCCTCACTTTTTTGGCCAATTTTTCGACGCTTGTCCATTCGTGATATTTATAGGAATTTTTCATACATATTATAGCATTCGACATTTTAGTTACCTGATTATTTTTCATTTTTTGAACATTTGCGGTATCACTACATAGGATTTTTGTTTATTCCCCTATTTATTTATGTGCCTAACTAAGGTAACAAGTTACTGTCAATGTAAAATGTAGAAAAAGTTGTTCTGCTACCAATTTGTCACTCATGTAATTGCCCTTCCATCATGGAATACTTGATGGATTAGCCAGTTTTTACTGAGTTAACAGGCTCAGAGTTCGAATTTGCAAAATTGGGACCGGAATCCGAGTTTAGGGTTTAGTTCTGAAATTTGAACTTAAAAACCGATGGATCTTCCATGCTGGATTGTGAACCAAAGCAGCCTCAAAATCATGCAACATTCTGAAGAATGGATATAATCATATCGAGGGCGGATACTAACCAATTCCAATAACTTTTTTCCCATAGTCTTTACAAGTACTATGGGAAAAGGTACTACTACCAGCCACCATAGATAGGCATAGTATTAGCACTGTCGCATGAATGGTTTAAGGGTAAAGTTTTAGTTAATTGGATTGGTTAATCGGTACAAAAAAATCCCAACTAGTCCACAAATTAACCGACCCCGAAGAAATGGAACGCTCAGCAGCCTGGAAAGTAGGATTCTATTATTTGATGTGATCGAAAATAAGGTACAATGTCACTCAGAAGCAAGTAATCAAGCTCCTGCAGTTTCTCCCTAAAGCTTCTTTGAACTCACCCTGACATAACCCATAACCCACGCTATTTGCCCAAGTGTCTCTCGCAACGCTTGTTTGCCTCGTTTCAAAGTTGACACGTAAACCGCTTTATGGCTACCTATTAGCCGGCAACTAACAAAGATCACTTGAGGAGGAGGTGGTGGGTGGGTGGAAGAAGAGATTGGGAAGGATGGAAAAAGCACTTTTGTTTTTGAAAGTCTAAAGGACGGACACACGGTGTTCTGCCTATAACATCTCTAATGTACAGTAGTCGTCACTATTTCTGTCAGCATTTTTTTGTGATTGAGAAAAGCTGAAATTAAATTGAGAAAAATTTGAATTGGGAAAATGTTACATTATTTCGATCACAGTAGCTCAAAAAGGTGAAAGTTAAAGAGAAGAAATATGATGGAAGGCAAAACTGTTCGAAAGTAAGGCAAGCAGTATGGAGCTCTGCAGGGTTTCACAGCGCAANNGCTCACCTCATTTTTCCTGACGACACTTCAGCGATGTAGGTCTTATCGGACATTATCTACATGCAATACATCAGTTCCTCTATGTATGCTTGAAGATTATAGCCGCTAAATCGACAATCCTTGGCAACGCTTCTTATCTCTATGGGATTTTAAACTATCCGAGCTGATCCCTTAGAAATCTTAGAGGCATCCCAAACGTAGTAAGTAGTGCTTTCAGTGAATCGTGAAGTCTCTTATTTAACTTCAGCCTAGCTTCCAGTGCTTGAGGGAATCCCTCCACCAGCAGCTACATAGGGAAGCGCGTGGTGCCAGCACCTTACTGATGACTTAATGATCTGATCTTCCAGAGTGTAATCAAGGGCCAATACATCCGAGATTGGGAATTATAACTAGAGTGGACTAGAAGAATTGAAACAGTACTAGGCCTTCATGCCTGTGTCTATCAGTACTCCTAGACAGCTAGACCGGCTCTGAGGCGAATGGAATTTGCAGAAAACTTAGCCTGACAGAAATTTTGGCAAAAACTCCATCACTGCACTTCAGAACTA